GCATTATAGCATAGAACCATATATTACACATCACAGTTATGGACTTCATTAATTTTTTTTATATTATAGAGGCAGAGAAACAAAGATAAAGAGGGATCTTCTACCTGCTAGTTCACTCTCCAAACGTTTGCAAAACCCAGAGCAGGGCAGGCTGAAGTGAGGAGCAAGGAACCGAGTTTGGGTCTCCTATGTGGGTGACAGAAGCCTAAGTACTTCTGCCCTCACCGGCTCCTTGTCAAGTACACATTAGGAAGCTGGGAGCGGAAGCAGAGCTGAGACTTGAACCCAAGCTCTGCAGTAAAGGATGCGAGCATCACCAGCAGCTTCCTACCTCCTGCACCTAAGGCGACAGCGTATGAATTTGAACCACCACCTGTTGCTTTAGAGCTGAAATCTTTGTGTCAATGACTTGAAAACCAAATTGAAATTTTTTTACCCAAAGCACTAAGTCTACCTATAATCATGTCCCAGGCCCTTTTATTAGCTTCAAATTCCCATTCAGGCCCCAGAAGATAACCAGAAGTAAACTTAATTTCCCACTCATGTCATTGAATCTGAACTTGTCTCTGCAACTACAAACTTCATGCAAAAAAAAGTTGATGTAATTTTCGCTGTTAGCAGTGCCATTTGCTTATTCATTAATAAACACTAAAGTTCCCACTACAAGTCTAACAGTACAGTAAGCCCCTACTCTGTGTGTCACACTTGACCGGAGATTCGTGTTGTGGTTTACAGATGAAGCCGACACCTACAACACGTTCCGTATGAGGGCGTAGTCAAATCCTGGCAGTCCCACTTCTAATCCAGCTCCCTGCTAATGGCCTGGGAAAGCAGCAAAAGAACACTCAACTTCTTGGGCCCGGTGCGGTGGCCTAGCGGCTATCCTTGAACGCCCCGGGATCCCACATGGGCACCAGTTTAATACTGGCAGCTCCACTACCCATCTGGCTCCCTGCTTGTGGCCTGGGAAACCAGTCAAGGACGGCCCAAAGCCTTGGGACCTGCACCCGTGTGGGAAACCCAGAAGAGCTCCTGGCTTTTGGCACCTGGTTTTTGGCACCTGGCTTCAGATCGGCTCAGCTCCGGCAGTTGTGGCTACCTGAGCGTTAACCAGCGGATGGAAGATCTTTGTCTCCTCTCTCTGTAAATCTGACTTGCCAATAAAATATTATCTTTAAAAAATAAATAAAAATAAAATAAAATCCATGAGCTCTGTGTACAACAGCACTTACGCTACTTTGTCAACTGGAACATTTTGCCTTCACTTGTTTGCTGGACCCATATTCAAACATCCCGCAGGTCCAGGTAGTATTAAGAGTGTGGAAGTCCAACACATCCAACTGTAATCATGAGCATATAAATACACTTGTATGTGTCCTAGTAACAGGCCACAATAGTAAGTTCAGGCGTTCGGCACAACAATTAAGAAGTCACTAGAACACTCACATTCCACATTGGAGGGCCTGGGGTTAAAGTTCAGGAAGCATATCCACTTCCAGTTTCCTGCTCACACACCCTGGGAGGTAGCAGCGAAGACTCAAGGACTTGGATCTCTACCAAGTCTAGTCCTGGCTTTGGCCTGCCAGTATGGCTACTGCGGGCATTTGGGAAGTGAAACAATGGCTAGATTACCTATCTATCTATCTATCTATCTATCTATCATCTATCTATCATCTATCTCTGCCTTCCAAATATTAAATTATAAATAGAAATTTAAAATAACAAAGGCAGGAAGTGGCTTTTGACAGTGTTTAATTACATTTTTTAATTTATTTGAAAGGCATAATTATAAAGAGATGGTGAAAGGGGAAGGAAAAGGCAGAGATGGAAAAGAGGAGGAGAGACAATGAGAGGGAAGAGATATCTTTCATCTGCTGACTTAATCCTCAAATGGCCACAGCAGCAGGGGCTATGCCAGACTGAAGCCAGAAGTCCAGAGCTACTCTGGGTCTCCCACATGGGTGCAAGGGGCCTAAACATTCGGGGTTCCTAGGCACATTAGCAGGGAACTGGATCAGAAGTGCAGCAGGCAGATCTTGAAGTGGCAGCCAATACAGCTGCCAGTACTGCAGACAGAGACAACACTCACTATGCAACAATGCTGTCCTTGATACGCAATAATCCAACAAGAGTTAGTCTTATTCCTTGATTAATAGAGTACATTTCAATTTTTGTTTTATTCTTCATGTTATTAAATATAATAGCTTATAGCAAGCAGATTCTGAATATTTCCTAATAAGTTACATACATTTTTTTTTGGTGATTCTAGTTCTTTGAAGTACTTCAAGGTTACCATCCCGTAAGTCACATCATATTGCTGCCTTTTTTTTTTGTAAGATTTATTTATTTTTTATTGGAAAGTCACATTTACAAGAAGGAGAAGAGGCAGAGAGAAAGCTCTTCCATCTGCTGGTTCATTCCCCAAGTGGTGACAACAACCGGAGCTGAGCTGAGCCAAAGGCAGAAGCCAGGAGCTTCTCTGGGTCTGCCATGCAGGTACAGGGCCATCCTCCACTGCATTCTCAGATCACAAGCAGAGAGCTGGATGGGAAATGGATCAGCAGACATGAATCCATGCCCATATGGGGTCCTGGCCCATGTAAGGCGAGGATATTAACCACGAGGCTACTTTTTGTTTTTTAATTTAAATTTAAATAAAATGTAAATGTTAATGTTGCAGAAGACTATACTAAAGTCAAAACTCTAATATAGATCCTGTAGATACGCAGTTTTTGTTTTTTAAATATAATCAATGATCAAAGGCAAAGGTATGTGAGAAAAAGCAGGTGTTTGGTGTAATGGTTGAAATGCCACTATGGGGCCTTGGGACCCTGCATCCGCATGGGAGACCTTGAGGAGGTTTCTGGCTCCTGGCTTCGCATCAGCACAGCACCAGCCATTGCAGTCACTTGGGGAGTGAATCGTCAAATGGAAGATCTTCCTCTCTGTCTCTCCTCTCTGTGTATATCTGACTCTGCAATAAAAACAAATAAATCTTGGGGGAAAAAAAGATGCCACTATAAGGAATATTTACAAAAGCAAAACCATTGATGCTGAAATGCTTGGGGTTAAGGGGTCGTCTACTGATAGATGCCTCACAACCCACACCTTCATCCAATGCAGCAAAGGTAAGGGCACTTCTTTTCAATTCTGCAGTCACTCTCTGGGAGTTAGTGCTCCTGGTTCCTGTTTCCACTCCACACTTAGCTACCAGACTAATTAGAAATACCCCATACTCTTTATTGAGCACTTTTTTTCCAAAACAATACTCTCCAGTGCTCAAGAAATTTCAATCATTCCAATATGAGGTAAAAGATTAAGGGCCTGCCAAATATACACACAGACTGATGAAAACATTATTAGGATCCGGGGCGGTGGCCCAGTGGCTAAAATCCTCGCCTTAAATGCGCCGAGATGCCAAATGGGTGCCAGTTCGTATCCCAGCAGTCCTGCTTCCCACCCTGCTCCCTGCTTGTGGCCTAGGAAAGCAGTTGAGGACGGCCCAAAGCCTTGGGACCCTGCACCTGCGTAGGAGACCAGGAAGAAGCCCCAGGTTCCTGGCTTCAGATTGGCTCAGCTCTAGGCGTTGTGATTGCTTGAGGAGTGAAGTATTGGATGGAAGATCGTCCTCTCTCCATCCTCCTCTCTGTATATTCGCCTTTCTGATAAAAATAAAAATAAATAAATCTTAAAAAAAAAAAAGCATTATTAGAGACCAGCAAAAAAAAAGCTGGAAATGGAAGACAAAGATGGAAGAAGGGTGGGAGGGTCTGGTTCTTCTTCACCACCCAATTTAATATCACATCTGCCATTCATCACTAGATATTCTCATTTCCTGACCTATATTCCACACCTTCTTCAAAACTCAATACTAATATCTTTTCACCAAAAAAAAAAAGAAAAATTGCAATAAACCTGCAAAAAAATTCTCTTCCTCACTCTGATAAAAGGCATTTATGAGAATTCTGTTAACATTATACTTAATAGGAGACTGAACATTTTCCCCTTACAAGCAGACACTAGAAGGAAGCCCTACAAGTGTCTGTCCTTGACACTTCTTTCCAAAGACATGTTAGAGGTACTTTCCAAGGCAGTTAGGCAAGAAAATAAAATAAAATGCGCTCACATTGGAAAAAAAGTAAAAATACGTTCATTTGCAAGTGATGCAAACCTACAGAATCTATGTAAAAACTATTAAAACCAGTAAGCTCAGCAAGAGATAGAGACTTAGAGCAACAAAAATAGTGTCTTTATATGCTTGCATTGAACTACTTGAGAATGACAGTCCATCTAAAATTGCACCTAAAGAAGTAAGACAACTGGGCCCGGTGGGATGGCCTAGCAGCTAAATTCCTCCCCGTGAACACCCCAGGATCCCATATGGGCACCGGTTCTAATTCCGGCAGCTCCACTTCCCATCCAGCTCCCTGCTTGTGGCCTGGGAAAGCAGTTGAGGATGGCCCAAAGCTTTGGGACCCTGTACCCGTGTGGGAGACCCAGAAGAAGTTCCTGGCTCCTGGCTTTGGATCGGCATAGCATAACATCGGCCGTTGCGCTCACTTGGATAGTGAAACATCGGAAGGAAGCTCTTCCTCTCTGTCTCTCCTCCTCTCTGTATATCTGACTTTCCAATACATAAATAAATCTTTCTAAAAAAAAAAAAAGAAAAGAAAAGAAATAAGACAATTGAGAAGAAATGCAATAGGACATATAACTTACACTCTAAAAACAATAAAAGATCATTGAGAGCAATTAAACAAAAAAAGGAGAACATCTTACGTTCACAGAGAACCTTTCTATTGAGATGGCAATGCCCCCAAATCATCTACAGATTCAACACATAACCTCATCCAAATTCCTGCAGGCTTCCATAACACTGATATGAAAATGCTGAGACCCAAATAACCAAAATAATCTTGAAAAAGAGCAATCTCAAGTCTCACACTTCTCAATTAAAAAGCAACAATAGTTACAACGGAACAGGCAAAAGGATATAACAGATCAATAGACAAGGACTGAAATTTCCAAACCAACTGTGATGACTGTTCAACTGGTCTCTGACAAGAGTAACAAGAGAAGTCAATGGAGGAAAGAATAACCTTCCTAACACATGGGACTGGGACAAGTGGAGACCCACACGCAGAGCAGTGTTAGACTCCCTCCACAGTAATATCCTATTCTGAAGTTAAGTCCCAACTGATCAAGGACCTAAGTGCAAGCCATAAAGTATTTAGAACAAAAACAATAAATTTTTTGTGATCTTAGCTAGGCAAAGGTTTCTTAGCCATGACACCAAAAGTGCAATGTCAACTAGAAAAAAAAAAAAGAACATTGACTACAAGCTGAAACTTTTAATATCCAGAATGATACCACTAAGAAAGTAAAAAGGCAATTCACATGAAGAGGGAAAATATGTGCAAAACATATGTAACTGTATGTATATGTAGATCACATTTAAGGACTCTTCCAACTGAATAATAAAAAGTAACTCAAGGGCCCGGCACGGTGGCACAAGTGGTTAAAGGTCCTCGCCTTGCACGCCCGGGATCCCATATGGGCACCGGTTCTAATCCCGGCAGCCCCGCTTCCCTTCCAGCTCCCTGCCTGTGGCCCGGGAAAGCAGTCAAGGACGGCCCAAAGCTTTGGGACCCTGCACCCGCGTGGGAGACCCGGAAGAGGCTCCTGGCTTCAGATCGGCATAGTATCGGCCCGTTGCGCTCACTTGGGGAGTGAATCATCGGACGGAAGATCTTCCTCTCTGTCTCTCCTCTCTGTATATCCGCCTTTCCAATTTAAAAAAAAAAAAAGTAACTCAATACAAACACAGGCAAAGAATGAGAGCCTTTTCACACATGTCTCCAAGGGATATACACAGATGTCCAAAAAGGACAGGAAAAGATGCTCGGTATGACTAGCAGTAAAAGAAAGGCAAATCAAAACACAGAGGCACCATTTCCCGTCTACCAGGATGGATGATGACAAGACAGAGCAACTGGAGCCCTCATATACTACTGATATGAATGCAAGATACTGAGCTGCTTTTGAAAACAGTCTAGAAATTCCTCAACAGTCTGAACTTGAATGACCGTGGTTCCATTACGTTGTGTGATACTAACTTCATTCTTAGGGACATACTCAAAACAACTGAAAACATACGGCACAAAAAAAGTTGGCAAATTATAAGTTGCAATAGACAAGAAAATAGAAAAAAAATATTCATCAGTTGATTAGCTGGTAATCAAAATGTGCTATATCCATGAAGTGGCATCATTTATAGCCATAAAAAGAATAAAATACAATTACATAGATGTACCCTTGAAAGCACAATAAATTAAAGTACACATATAAAGATTTCATTTGTATAAAATGTCCAGAAAAGACATTCCTACACAAAACGTAGGTAAATCATCAAATTGAACTAGGTGAATGGAAGAATGAAGGACGACTCTTAAAATATGGGATCTATATTTCGGATGACGAAAACGTTCTTAAGGGGGCCAGGTTAATCTTTTACCTGCAAGCACCACCAGCATCCCATATGGGTGCCAGTTCGTGTTCTGGCTGTTCCACTTGCCATTCAGCTCCCTGTTTATGGCCTAGGAAAGCAGCAAAGGATGGTCCAAAGTCTTAGAACCCTGTCACCCACACGGGAGACCTGGAAAAGGCTCCTGGCTTCAGCTCAGCTCTGGCCATTTGAGGAATGAACCAGCAGTTGGGAGCTCTTTCCTTCTCTCTTTATCTACATAAATCTGTCTTTCCAATTTAAAAAAAAAAAAAAAAAGCAGCAACAAGAAATGTTCTTAAGGGGGCTGGTGCTGTGGCTGGATTGTCTAATCCCCTGTCTGCAATGCTGCATTCCATGAGTGGCAATTTGCATCCCAGCTGCTCCACCACAAAAGCAGCTCCCTGGTTATGGACTGGGGAACCAACAGAGGATGGCCCAACTCTTGGGCCCCTGCACCCATGCAGGAGATCCAGAAAAGGCTCCTGGCTCCGGGCTTTGGACTGGCTCAGCTCTGTCCATTGTAGTCATTAAAGGAATGAACCAGAGAACAGAAGATCTGTATCTCTTCTTTCTCTATAAATGAAAATAAATCTTTTAAAACTTCACAGAAAACATCCTAAATTGTACCTTTTGTTTGGCTACTATCAAAAAAAAAAAGTTCTGGGCCCGGCACGGTGGCACAAGTGGTTAAGGTCCTCAAGTGGTTAAGGTCCTCGCCTTGCACGCCCGGGATCCCATATGGGCGCCGGTTCTAATCCCAGCAGCCCCGCTTCCCTTCCAGCTCCCTGCCTGTGGCCTGGGAAAGCAGTCGAGGACGGCCCAAGGCTTTGGGACCCTGCAGCTGTGTGGGAGACCCGGAAGAGGCTCCTGGCTTCGGATCGGCATAGCATCGACCGTTGCACTCACTTGGGGAGTGAATCATCGGATGGAAGACCTTCCTCTCTGTCTCTCCTCTCTGTATATCTGCCTTTCCAATAAAAAAAAATAATAAAAATAAATCTTTAAAAAAAAAAGTTATTAAAATCCTGGGCAATAAAAACAGTGATTTAAATCAAAATTAAAGTTGTCCAGGGGCTGACATGTGGTGCAGCTCATTAAGCTGTTGCCTGTGATAATGCCGGCATACGATGTGGACACCAGTTCAAGTCTCGACTGCTCCATTTCAAATTCAGCTCCCTGTCAATGCACCCAGAAAACCAGTCCCACTGGCTGGGTCCCTGCCACCCATAGGGGTGATCCACTGGAGTTCTAGACTTCAGCCTGACCCAGTCCCAGCTGTGGTGGCAACTTGGAAAGTGAACCAGCTGTCTCTCTCTGTAACTCCACATCTAAAAAAAGTAATTTTCTTAAAAAAAAAAAATCAAGTTGTCCAGAGACAAAAACCCCTTAGTGTGCTGGCCCTCCAGGTCCATCGTTAGAGTGCATTCACTCAAAGGAAGTTGTAGTATTTTCATCCTGAAGTGTGAGCACAAGTTAACCATTATCTTTTGTTGTTCACTTGATGGTTTTACTGTTCCTTCTGGGTTCAGGCTTCAATATATTAATGTTCCCAACTTGAGTCACTGCAACAGCAACAACAAGCCATCCCAGGGTACAACCAAATACTACTCAGTATTGTGAAAACATAAAATACTAACAGTAATGCTGCACACCAGCAAGAAAAAAAAACAAATATATATATATATATATATAAAGAAAAACACTATTTCCTATGAAACCACACCTGAGGAAATGAAATTCGGAGTTTTACCCTACTGCACTGAACTGATGGCAAAATACAGAAATAACTCAGCTAGAACCCAGCGAGCCACAATGAAAATGTAAAACAGTAATGAATAAGCCCACTAAAGATTACAGAATTCAACCGTAATTTCTCTGTAAAACCTAAATCCTTGAGGGGCTTCTGAAATTCACTTACCATTCAAGCCCCTCACAGGTAAGAACATCCCTTTACATTCTGTGGCCCTCCCCCTTCCCTCCTCTCAACTCCCCCTCAGACCCAAAGGCCAGTTTTACTCTTTGAAGGGAAGCAATTCTGAAGTATTATCACTGACCTTTAGACAGAATTTCATAAATCTCCGTCATCTAAAATAACAGTGAAAGGCCCCTTGTGGCAGAGATGACCAAGCTGTTCACCAGCCAGGGCCTACATTTTCCATCCCCCTTATATTATTTAAAATATTGTATTACACACACACACACACACACACACACATATGTCTGTGACAAATTATTGCCAATAAAACTGGGGAAATATTTGTCCTTTTAAAAATCTGTGTCTTCTTTACAAATGGTCTGTGGGCAACAGGTAGAACTCCAGGTATGTAGGCAATGGGGAAGTCACACGATCTAAGGAACCAGGATCCTTAAATGATCACATGCAATAAAGCCACTGTTTACTAACCAGAACACCTGCACTGTACTGTCCTGCAAGCAAAACACAAACCTCTATGTACCAAGCCCCTGACATTCTGGAATACTTGACTACCCCAACAAATTAGCACTGCTTTGAGGAATACGGGATGAACTGCTGAAGTATTCCAATTCCTATTTAAAGGCATTAATAATGGGCATTTGGGGAAGATCATTTAAAACCTCCTTTCAGTAATTTAAATTTCAGAACATAAACAATTTTCTACCTTGATTTTAGTGTAACATAATTCTGCTAATCTGTGCAATTTAGCATGAGCAGTCCTATTAATGGTAAATTTCACTGTATAAGTACTGTAATAGTTCAGTATCATGTTTTCATGATTACAGAAAAATGTTTTCTCCAATTCTATCCAGGTTTAAAAATTTGCTTTAAGATAGTATCATTCATAATATCTAATGGAATTACTTTATCTAATACTAAGAGCAAAATTCATTCCTATTTCATAGTTACTAGAGAACTGGAAATTATGGTTTTTAAGGTAAGAATTCTTTAAAATTCCAGAGATTATTTTGTCCATTATAAAGTTGTTTCTACTATCCTTCACACAAATATTTAAATATAAAAGCTATTTTGGAATCTTAGTCCTAATTTTAGAAAAATCCAGTGAGATTTCCCAAAAACGTATTATTGTTGTTACAAATAATAAGGCTCCACTAAACTGACACCAATGAAAACTCCTCCCACATTCTCTTTGTCCTGCCTTTACCAAAAAAAGAAAAAGATCCTTTAACCTCTCAGTTGCCTTTATTTAAATCCGCAAAACTCTGTAATTTTTTTTTCACACAATACAACTAAAATTTAATGGACCACACATCTACAACTCTATAAGAAACAGAAGATGGGAAACTGCCAGCAGTTGACACAGGATTTTCATTTTCATTCAGAAGAATATGCCGGGAGATTTTGCTTGTGAGGAACCGGTCCTCGTGCGCTGTGTTCCACGGCCCTTACACTCTCAGGTAACTTCTGCTGCCTTGCTCCTCAGCATTGCCTGCATGAACGCATATGCTACGTGGAACATAAAACTTTTTCCCAAGGGAAAGTAACAACAACTCCCAAGAATAATGAAGCTGCGAGATACCAAAAATACCAAAGATCTAACCTGTGAAAAGTTGATTAGAGAAAGGAAAGGACAGAAATATTCCGCTGTCAGGATTTTCAACTTAGTTACATAATATTGCTCCAGGTAATCACTACTTCGGTATTCAAGCTGATAGGGCTGCAGGAGGCAGAACTACAATTTAAGTAAGCATCTACTACGCACCAAATACCATTTTCTCATGCTAATTTACAAACTGCAATGTCATAAAATATGAACTCTATTTCAGACAAGAAAATGGAGTCCTGTAGATGCTGGATACCTTGTCTAAGGTCAAAATAGTTAAGAAAAACATCACACAGATGAGATTCTGACGTCTGTAAAACGAGTTTTTTCCCCCTTAAACTACAAGTGCTAAATTGCTTTTGTAGTAGCACTAACAGGAAACACCTCTTCACTCCTCCCTCTCTTCCCAGTGAGCAGCACGCACTATTTCTTCACGAGACCTGTTTTAAAAACAATCAACCACTGGCCATTACACAGAGTGCAACCTACAAACACCGGATCCGTATTAAAGGCTTTATCCACAGCAGGGTTCTGGTGAGGACTAACGAGTTACAAACATGAAAAGGATGGAGTCGATAAAAGTGAGCCAGCGAATAATTATGCAAACGCCGTTTCTATTCGGTTCTGAAACGCACTGCACGCCTGTGAGCAGCGGACTTATCTGGGTAACTGCGTTTTGCTTCAGACGCTTCTCCCAACAGCTTTCCAGGAGCACACACCGAGTACACAATAGAGGCCGCCTGCTCTACGCGGCTTCGGAAACGTGTCTGCCGAGCGTGACCGTCTTGAGGCTCACCAGCGGCTCCCGAGCATCTCCCAGAATGTGGCGCTGGCCTGCCACTTGCACACCCACGGCTCAGCTCAACTCCTCCAACAACACAACCCACCCCGAAGCCCAAGCCGAGCAGGAGGCCGAGGCCAAGAGGATGACAGCTCCAGTAACTTCCTCTTCCTCCCCGACCTCCCAGCTCAGCCCCGCGCGAACACGCCTTTCCCCTAGGAGGCAGGAGACGACAATTTCAAAAGCACAACACCGAGCCAAGCCGCCGCCGCCTGCACGGGCCGTCGGGGCTGGCGGCCGGCTCTCCCCCACCCCTCCCGGCCAATCTACTTCGTGGGGAGGGGGAGGGGGCGATCCCAACTCACCCACCGCAAAGTATTTGCAACACAAAACGTAAATCTGTTCTCAGAGCCTCGGCGCAACGCGGAGGGCTCTCGATAGGTTCCCCACAAGGACTGCTTGGAGCCACTTTGCCTCGGGGTCCCGGCGACCGTGGAACGCCAAAATAAGCCTTCGCTCCTCGTCGGGGGACGCGGAGGCGGCCGAGGCGCCCACAGCCTGCGCGTCCCGTCCCAACCCTCACCTGCCCGGGCCCGGGGCAGCACGGTGCTCCCGCACGGGGCTCCGCGTCCCGGGAGGCGCCCGGGCGCCGAGGCGGTTAGGCCGCGCTGCAGGCCGGCGCGCTTCCTGCCGCGGCCGTGGCCCCGGGAACCCGAGAGCCGCAGCTTCCCGCCCGGCCCCGCCGCCTCGCGTGGGCCGCCCTCGCTCAGCCCTGCGCGGCCCAGCCCCCCGCGAGGCAGCTCTCACCTGCGAGGCTCGGGAGCCTCGGCCACAAAGGGGGAGAGAGGGAGAGAGAGAGAGAGAGAGAGAGAGAGAGAGGGCCACGCCAGTCGGGGGGGGGGTCCCAGCCACGGGCGCGGACGCCCCCCGACACACACACACACACACACATCCCGCAACCCTCCTCGCCCGCCTCCCGCCAGCGCGGGTCACCCCGCCGCCCCCCGCCGATCACCCGACACACACCCACTCGCCGCGCGGGTCCCTCAGGCCGCCCTCCCGCCCGCCAAAGTCTCATCAACTCGCACGCCCACACTGCCTATTTGTTCCCTCTCCCACCTCATTTCCCCGGGGACGCGCTCGTCCTCCCGACACACTCGCCATCGGCCCGACTGGGGCGCACACTCACACTCACACACAAAAACACTCTACCTCATTCTCTTCCTCCGGCCCACAAGGAGCAACCACAGCAGCCATTTCCCCGCGGCTGGGGGAAAACACACACACACACCACCCCCTCACACACACACACACACACACACACACGCGAGCGAGCGCGCGCGCGCGGGCCCTCACACATACTTCCCCCTCCGGAGCCGCGGCCACAGACACAAACACAAACACCCACGCCCGCCCGCCCGTCCGACCCGAGGGGCAGCGCGGCCGCGGCGCCCGGGCCTTCGGGGGGCTCCCACGTCCCCCACTCCCCCGACCCCCGGTCCCCCTCACCTGCATTCAGCGCGCCAGGGGCCGGGCGGCGGCGACGGCGGCGGCGGCGGGGCGGCTGGGGCTGCGGCGGCGGGGGAGGCGGCGGCGGCGGTGGCGGCGGGGCTGAGGGCAGTAAAGACATGCAGGCAGCCCGCCGGGGGGAGAGAGGCACCGGCCGGAGGGGACGCAGGGCGGGCGGGCCGGGCCGGGCCGCCGGAGGAACGGGCAAGAGGCGGCTGGCTGGCTGGCTGGCTGGCTGGCTGGCTGGCTGGAGCCTAAAGGAGAGACGGAGCGGGGAGAAGGGAAGGGAACGAGGGCGGCCGCCGCCGGGCTTCGAGAACGGTGACCCCGGACGCGCTGAGGAGGGCCCCGCGCGGCCCGCTGACGCGAAGGCCTCAGCCGGAGGAAGCTGCGCGCCCTCCCGCCCCCGCAGGCCGCCCTAAGCCGCGGCTAGAGCCTCCGAAAGCCTCGCCGAGCCCGGCCTTGGCCTTGGCCTCCCGGTGCTGGGGGGCTTGCCGCCGCTGCGGGGGGTTAAGCTGCCGAGCCTGCTGCTGCTTGCCGGGGGTGGGGGGCCGCCGAGGCGGAACAGAGACCCCAGCTCTCGAGGTGCCTTCGCCCTCGCGCACACACACGTTCACACCCCCCCGAGAGCCGGGGGAGAGGCGTCCGGGCAATATCGGGGATTGAGATTAATAACAAGGTGCAAGAGAGTGCGAGAAGGAGGAGGGTTGATTGACGTGGAGGGGCTGGCGGGAGTCAGTCACTCCCCGGCGCGGAGGGGTGGGGTGAGGGGAAGGGGGCGGAGCTTCCCGCCGCGCGCGCGTGCGCGCCGCCGCCGCCAGGCCGAGGGGCGCGGGCGCGCGCGGCGCCAGGGTGGCTCGGCCCGCGCGCGGCTGTCACGCTTTGCTGCCCTCTGACTGGGGCCCGTCGGCCTCGGCGAGGAGCGAGCTGAGCGGGCCGGGTGGGTGTTCGAGCCGCGTTCACCGAGTGCTGAGGGGAGAGAACCGAAGGAGCCGCCTCGCGGGTGTTTCCGGCCGCGCTGTGGGCCCGGCCCGGGCCACCTGAGAGTCGAACCCAGCACGGGTCTGGGAGCTGACGGGACGCCCGCCGAGGTGAAGCGACCGCAGGCAAGGTTTCCTGAGAACTTCGGGGTGTTTTGTCCTTAACGTGTGTAAGTTTGTGCCGTGAAAGGTAAATAAAAGACTGCGTGACGCTTTCAGATGATTTCCGACCTCGTTTCACATTCCCCCTTCTCGCGATAGAATTACGTGTCTCGGGCCGTTTATTCGTGGCAGCTGCAGAATGAAAACATCCGAGTGTGAACTAGCAGCATCCGCGTTCATCGGAACGTGTGGCCTGGATATTTTCCGTTTCTGAGCTCTATTTGCATTTTTTAATTTATTTATTTCCTGCTGGGCCTGCTCCAACTTTGAACCCCCACAAGTCCAAAATGCAAATTACACAAGCGCCAGAAGTCTGCACTGTGGCGGTTTTGCACGATTGCAATCCCCTCCCTCCTCGACACATGCTCCGGGTCCTTTATTTTGGTCCAGCGTGTATTAGCACGCTGCGCTGTGCTTTTGGCCCACGACGGGAGAGGTGCTGGGCACACGCGCTCGCCGTGTCGGTGGGGCTGCATCAGCGGCCTTAATACTGACTAAAGCGCCTCATCTCTGGTGGGGAAGGGAGGGACGGCAAAAAAAAACAAATGCAAATCCTCTTTTAAGGCAGAACTGGAGAGCTATTCAAACAGCCCACCAGTGCCGCGGACCAGCACCAGGGCGCCACTTTGATCTCGCCAGCAGGAAGTGTGAGGGGAAGACGCAAGCTACTTTGTTTGCTTCCTGTTAGGTTCACGTTTTCACACACACACACACACACACACACACACACACACACACGCCTCGCCACTTTCTGCAAGAAGTCAAGGCAGGCCTGATTGTCTCACTCATTCCCGATGCTTCGAAACCTCTGACATGCAATGAATTGGTTTTGATTTTATAAGCAGTAAACCAAACAAATCACTTAAGGAGTCCAGAAGAGCGAACCTGCCTGGAAGGTGTCTGAACTTCCCCGAGGACAAAGACCATCAAACGTCAAAGGAAAGAAGGAAATAAAGACTCCAGAAAATAGGAATCAAGGGGGGTGTGCTGGCAGGTTTTTAAGTTTCACTCAGTACCCGTGGATAGATTGATTTCTCGCTTTTCCTTATGTACAGGGAACACTTGCAGGCGCCGCAGTTAGCACCGGCAGTAGGCACACAATCAGGCAAGCAGCCCCTGCGCTCAGGTGGTTCACACTAAGAGGCTGACACATCAACAGGAAATTTCCAGGGAACAAGCCAGCAAGGATACGTGAAAGGTGATGCAGAATTCATCACAACATTGAGGCTAGGCTGACAGCCTACCCTGGCAATTTTACTTGAGTCATCTTATACCCACCTACATTCATGGGCAACCCCACAGTAGCAAGGAGTTGGGGAAAAGGAGGAAGTTCACTGTGAATGATGAAAGAGAAGCAATAACAAACATCGCTTAGCTTGACGTTGATGGGATGTTCCTTGTTGGCCTCTGAATTTTATCTTGCTGTGGTGTGTGTGTGTGTGTGTGTGTGTGTGTGTGTGTGCACTTGTTTGAAGATTGACACAGCGCCCATGTGTTTGTTCTTGCCACAGAAGCCCTCCAGAGCTGGGGCTGGGCCTAGCCTGCACCCAATCCAGTATCCCACACAGGTGGCAGGGGTGTGGCGGGCAGGCAGTTTTCAATGATGAGCCGTGGCTGTTGCTTCCAGCAGCTGCAGTAACAGGAAGCTGGAATCCAGAGCTGTGTAAGGAACCCAGGAACTCCAAGGTGGAACTCAAGCATCTTAACGTATCACTTAACTGCTAGCACAAGCACCACCCCCCTCTAAATTTTTAGTACTAAATGCATTGTAATCCATTCCGAGGGGGAGGGGGGAAGATAGTAGTGCCACTTAACATTAAGGATAATGGCAGTTGACAAAGATCAACTGAATGCGTGTTAAATTTAAGTATCTTTCCTGTCAGAGATGTTCTGTTTCTATCATCTCAAATGGGAAAAACGGAAAGCAATACTTTTAAAACCTTACTCATATAACTACCATTCAAAGATGATGCTTGTTTTTGCCAGTGGCAGTTAGACTAACGTGGAAGAAACAATCGTTTTCAGTTAGTTGGCACTGTATAAATGCCAAGAAATTAGATCTTAACAAGATTTCAATTCAAAAGGCATTCCAAAACAACAACGAAAGAATGGTACTTTATCCACTTTTTTTAAATTACATTGCATTATGTGATACAGTTTTATAGGTACTGGGATTCCCCCAAACCCTCCCCCCCATGGTGGATTCCTCCACCTTGTTGCATTACCACAGTTCAAGTTCAGTTGAGATTCTTTCATTGCAAGCATATACCAAGCATAGAGTCCAGCATCTTATTGTCCAGATAAGTTCAACGGCTTCTTGGGGAGACCATCTCTGGTCTGAAGGTAGAGCCGGCAGAGTATCATCCCGATCAATTAAAAATCCCAACATAACATCAGCAACAATTTATAATGTTTATCCACTCTTTTTTTAAGGCTTAAGCGTGGAGTCTGGTTTTCTGGCCAGGCCTCCCACAGAAGAGACAGGGTTCCCCAAGCACTGGCGTCATCTGCTGTTTTCCCAGGAACATTAGCAGAAACTGGATATAAAGTGCAGCAGCTAGAATTCAATTCAGCCATTACATGGAAAGTTCAAATAGTTAACTGTGTAGGTTAACCTGCTGTATTACAAAACAGGCCCCTAATTATTTTTAAATAATAGATGTGCTGTAAATCAAAGTTTGTAACAGAATTGTAGCCTACTTTAAGATATTAATTCCGGGAATTGTTCAAGTTTGAATACAAGTTTTGTTGCTAAGATCAGAAAAAAATATTGAAGGAAAACTTTATTTTGGCTTTTGTGAGTAATGCTGCAATAAATGGGAATGCAGCTGTTTCAACATGTGCTGATTTCATTGCTTCTCGACATATACCCAGGAGTGCGGTGTCTGGGTCACAGGACATTTATGACCCATGTATTTACTTACTTGTTTTTGAGGCACCTCCATGTTGTTTTCCATAACAGCTGTGATAATCTACCTTATAAATCTGTAGTGTTTAAAAGTTCCCTTTTCTCTACCGGCTCCTCAATACTTGTTATCTTCAGTATTTCTGATAATAGTCTCTCTGGCTGGAATTAGGTGGTATCTGCTTGGTTTTGATTTACATTTCCTCAAAGTCTAGTCTAATGTAAGGTGATGGATATGCTAATTGCCATGGAATAATCATTGTACAATGTGTACATATGCTGCGCCTCATAAATATGTAGAATTGCTATGTGCCAATCAAAATGAAATTTAAAAAAAAAAAAGATCTTTTAAAAAGTGCCTTGTTTTGGCAAAGCTTCTGGCTTACTTGCACTCTGGTAAAACTGATTTAATAGTAGTAGTGTGTAGGCTCATAGGCAGGACTTACATCTGATCTGTATTACCACAGCATTAGTTCATACTTTCTCATTAAAAAAAAAAGTTGTAAAATATTGTAGAGAGATTGGGACCAGCACCCTGGCATAGTGAGCTAGACTTCTGTCTATGGCACTGGCATCCCATATGGGCACTGGTTCAAGCCCCCCTACTCCACTTCCAATCTAGCTCCTTCCTTTATGACCTCGCAAGGCAGCATAAGATGGCTCAACTCCTTGGGAACCCTACATCCATATTGGAAGAACTGGACGAGGCTCTTGGCTCCTGGCTTCAGCTTGTCCCAGCTCCTGCTATGGCAGCCATTTGAGGAGTGAGTGAGCCAACAGATGAAAGATCTCTATCTCTCTCTCCCTCTCTCTCTCTCTCTGTCTCTTCTCTGTAATTATGCCTTTCAAATAAAAATAAATATATTTTTTAAAGTCCTAGAGATCACCTGTGTTAACAATGAATATTTTATTTAAAAGAAACTTTCTAGCTTTCCCTACTTTTGGTGATGGCACAGTTAGCTGATCACAAGACTCACTTTTCTGAATTCTGTTGAGCAGCTTTTTCAAATAGGACAACACTTTTTTTTTTTAGTTTTTTAATGTAAGAAAGTCATTGTCACTGATGAAGAGTTAAATTTTATTTTGTTGAGTTCAGTACATGGCTTTATACTAATAACTATATGACTTTAAAATTTTTTAAATCTATTTTAGAGATATAGAGTCCTGCCATCAACTGATTTATTACCTAAATGCCTACAACTCTTGGGAGCTGGGAACATAACTGCAGTTCTTGCGTGTAGTGGCAGGAACCCAATTATTTGAGTTGTAACCTTTGCCTCCCATGGTCTTTATTTATAAAAAGCTAAAGTTGCAGTGTGTTACTTACCTCCACTTGTCAGGGACGGTACCCAGACCTGACCTTTCGTGATGGTACCCAGACCTGACCTTTCGCCTGTCGCCTTTGCCTCCTAACTCCTCAGCCACTAAGCGTGAATGCATCTCCAGCCAGATTGGCTAGGCTGGTGTCTCTAGATCTGCAATGACTCCTGGGAGGTCTTCTGCCCGGAACACGGCATCCAGCCTGATGGCCAGATACCAAGCAACAAGACCATTGTGGGAGGAGACGACTTCTTCAACACGCCCTTCAGTGAGACCGATGCTGGAAAGCACGTGTCCAGGGCCATGTTTGTAAACC